CTGACGCATACACTGCAAATTATCCATGTGAGCTTCAGAGACCTGATTCAAAAGACAGTTTCTCATTTTTCCAATGTGTGTCCCACAAAGACAGCATCCGCACTGGTTACAGATTCACGGTAAAGGACCTGGTGTCACCTGTTCCTTCTCCCCCAGTCAGCACCACACCTTCCTCAGGTATGCGTCTAATGAGTAGTGACCAAGGTTATGCTGACTTCTTCGGCCTCTGTGGGAGTAAAATATCACAAGATCACAAGATGCCCACAGCCGCCTCAAGAACTGGTTCGAGTCGAGTTACAGCCTCTCTAGCCTCATTTTCCTTTCTGCTTAACGAAACAAAGGATACACAAGGTTGCTTCCATTCGTTCAGTAAGCCCTAACTAGGCAGTAGCCACAATGCAGGTGCTGTGGTCAGTGCCAAAAACGGTCACAGGCAGGACTGTCACATCAGCCTTAAGAAACGTCACCAGCTCTGGGGATGCTGTGGGACTCACAGGGAAAGAAATCTTTACAAACTCCAAAGAACTGTAAAGAATTGTGAAATGTTTGAGCAGGAGCAGGTAGCTCATTTGCTTTGCACGTTGCCGACCCAGGTTCGATCCCCGACATCCCATATGGTCTCCTGGCACTGCCAGGAGTAATTCCTGAGTGCAGAGCCAGGAGTAACCCCTAGCATCGCTGGGTGTGACCCAAAAAGAAAGAAAAAGGAATTATGAAATGTTGCACTCTCGCACTCACTCTCTCCACCACCACCACCCCCTGCCCCACCTCCCCACCACGTCTCTTTGGGCAGAAATTGTATACTGACTCCTAATTCCTTCCCAATCCCCCTTCTTAGCAGAAAAATCTGAGTTATTTGTCTACCAAATCACTATATTCCTACAGTGCCAGCCTCCTGCCTAGCTGGATGTGGCCATGGGACCAAGTTCCAAATCAACATTTTCAATCCAGATATTCTAAGAAAGCCAGAGGTGAAAATCACAGAGATAGGGAAGCCATGTCATGAGACTAGGGGTCCAACTAGTAGGACAGGAGGGCCACAGGAATAAAACAAAGATGGAAGGGGTCACAGAAAAGATTGAGAAATTCTGGTCTTTTAACGAGAAAATGAACATGGAAGTTTTGTTTCTAAGGAAAGCTCTGATAGGGGCTCCATTGAGCACTTGCAATTGATAGTCTTCTAAAAGGAGGAACCTAGGTGTGACAGCTGGAGCTCCTGCAGCCACTTTGGGCCCTGAGGATATAATCACAGACATGCCTCACCTAATGCTGCTTCAGTCAACAGCAGACTGCATATGTTATGGTGGTCCTAACAGATTCTATCACACAGCTTTGGTAAGTAGTGAGCTGTGCCATCAAGGATTGTGTAACTACACTCTGATGTTCACACCACGATAACATAATCTCATAAAGCATTTCTGAGCACGCATTGCCGTTGAGTATTGCCTAAGGAAGAACTGGAAGAGCTGGACAGAACAGGATCTTGGGATTCTCAGGGCTGCCAGACAAACTCACATCATCTAACTCCAGATGTCTCTCACATGAGAAAAAAGCTGCTTCCACATTCATATCTCTGTAATACTGATTCCTGTCACTCATGGCTGAACCTAGTCCTAAGTGAAAGTTAGGACCCTGGGCCCCTTCCCTACATCTAATTCAAAACCACCCTTCAACTCTCTCTCTCTCCAATTCATCCCCTTTTCTTATTTGTGTCTCAGTCATGTCAGCTCATACCAGGATGGAAGCAACAACTTCCACACACGCTGAGCCCTGCTTTTACCTCTCCTCACCATCACTCAGGCCCAAAGAACTCTCACCTTTTAGTTAAACTTTCTGAAACCAGAAAAAAAAACAATTATAAAGTGTTGGGGCTGAAGAGATAGTACAGCATGTGGCTGACCAGGTTCGACCAGGTTCGATCCCTGACACCCCCATATGGTCCTCTGGGCATGCCAGAAATGATCCCTGAGGATGGAGCCAGGAGTAAGCCCTGAGCACTTGGGTGTGACCCAAAAATAAAAAACAAAACATAATTTAAAATTATGAATTATTGCTCACACAATGATGATGTATCACTTCCTCACTGTGCTTCCCAAGTTGGCTAATGGAATCATTATTCACCCAGATGTCTGAGTAGGAAGCTTAAAAATCATCCTCAACTACTTCCTCTTTCACCCTGCTACAACTTCAATGAATCAACAAGCTTTTTTTGATTCTCCTTTAGAAAAGTGTCTAACATACAAACTTCCTGTCCAGTCTTCTATGCTTATATTCTAATCCCTTTGTTGCACCTGAATGATTATGAGTCTCTTTATAACAATGGTAACGGCAAGTTTAACTGTTCACTTACTGTATGGCAGACTCTTGCTAAGAGCTCTGCTAACACAGTTTAATCCAATCGGTAGGTACTAGCATCCTGATGGGACTCAGGCCTCTCACATGCAAGACAAATGCTCCACCACAGAGCCCCATCCTGGCCTGTGATTCTATCCTTACCTCTTGTTAACTGCCTCCGGTCCTTTCTAGTTGATCTCTGCTTCTTTTTTCTGCTGCTCTTTCAAAAGTCCAAGCTGACCTATATCTTCTGCTTCAAGACAGCCAACTGCTCAACAGTTCAAGGTCTACCGGCTACAGGCTACGTTCCACGACACACCCACTGCTCTCCAAACTCCTTGCCAACCCTTTTCAGTTTTTTATTTGAAAGTGTTTCTTGCCCTTTCTATGAGAGAAACTTCTTAGCAGTCTCTATTTCTATGCGTGAGTGCATGTGTGTGTGCAAGCGTGCATGTATGTGTGTGTGTCCCTACCAATCCTGAGTTCATGGAGGGCAGGCACACTGTATCTTCATTTCAGATTCTCCCTTCCAGAGTAGCTGCAAGCAAGTGTCTAAATGAATGGTACGTAGTGGTGATGCCACCTCACAGCAGCAGAGGCCTTTTTCTCAGAGGACACTGAAAAGAAGGGCAGGTAATAATAGGTCATTCCTCTCAGGCCAACTCCAAAAGACAGACTCCTTCTAGTAAAGTTATTACAAGTGAGAGATTGGTCCCCCGCAGCCTGCTGGTGGCCTCTCTCCAAGCCTCTTGAAAGCCAGTAACCTCTCAACTGCAAAAAATAAACCCTCTGCGGGCCAACAAACCACAGAACTGCCCGTTCTGATGGGAGATGGAACAAAATGCCCTCGTCTACCACCGAGTAAAGGGCAAAACACTGCAAAGTGCAGACTAGTAGAAACGGGGGCTCTGATTTCTGTGGGAAATCAAGCATCCTCGTGGAGAAGAGTCACGGGGAGAAAAGCATCAGAGGCAGTGAAATCCAACCCTGCTCTCCAGTCACAGAGCGACAAGCTGGAGTCGGAGTCCAGGTCACCCATGACTCCCGCTCACCACCACCCTGCCCCGCTGCACTCCCTCTCCTTTCCAAAGAGTGGCCAGATGGTGCCTGAAACCCCCACAGATCACCAGGATCACCACACCCTCCAACGCCCTCCCAGCCACCTGCAATAAAAACCACACTCAACACTGGAAGTTCAATGTCCACTCCAAACCCCTACTTCACCGCACTTTCCCCTTCAATCAGAGAGGACCATCCAAGCGCCAGTCCATCTCCCCACAGGGATGGCTCCTCCTTTCACTTTTCACGGATCCACTTCCTTCTCCAGGTCCAAGGCAAACTCACCCTTTTCCAGACCAGACCGTCCTCTCCAAAGCCACACCTCTCCCTGCCCATCACTCCCTAGCGGCCATCCCTGGTCAGCACTGGATGTTATTTCCCTCTCCCACTTCCCTGTCCCTTTCCATCTTCTCCCTCACTGAAGGTGGAAGCTGTCCTTTGTTCACCCGGAGAACACACAGCGTAGGCGGTTAAGCACACAAACTTCTTCCCAGAGCACCTGCTGACCATCAGCAGAGGAAAAACCCTCTGACTAGAACTAGCTGGAATTTCAGTGGACAAAACCTCCAGGTAGCCCACGCTCTGGGCCGGGCACTGCAAATCCTGGATCTTGCTTCCAGAAAGGTAAATCGGCTCAAGGTCAAAGAGCTGATGATCAGCCAGCTTAACTTGACCCTCAAGTCCTGTTCAGGCATCCCCGAACCCCCTCTCACCCCCAGGCTGGTTCCAGGAGATCTATTACTTCCAAAAGGCTTTTGCATGTATCATTTTGCCCGGTCACCTCGCTTTAGAACAGGAAGTACTGGCCCAGAAAAACCAAAGAACAGAGAGGAGTCAAGGAAGATGCCTCAAGGTCCACTAGGACCCCTGCGGAGCGGGAGGGGGCGAGGGTGACGTGGGCATAGGGTGAGCGTCGCTGTGGAAACCCTATTCCAGTGCCGAGGGAGGGGACAGAGGTGAGTCACCGGGCGTACAGCTCTGATAAGCCGCGGCCAGGAGGCCAGCAGAAGTGACTCAGGGAGTCGGGAATCACGGTGGACCCCGGGGAGGCCGGAGCCCGGAGCAGGGCACACCGCGGCGGGCCAGAGGGGCAGCAACTTTGTCAAGTTCACTCACAAGTGAACCGGGCGGTGGGGGGAAAAGGGGGCTATGCCCCTGCCCCGACTTCCCCCTCTCCTCCATCCAGGAGGTTTCTCAAGGTGGGATTCGCAGGCACTGGGGCTGGGAGGGGCCAGAGACGGGTCATGGGAGTGGCCGGAGAGGGCAGGAGAAGAACCAAGGGTTGGGCTGGCCGCAGAAACGAGCCAGCCAGGCGGCGGGTCCCCGACCCTTCCCCGCCGCCCCGAAACAGGAAGCAAATGCGGAAGAGAGGAGAGGCGAGAGCGAAGTGCGAGGCAGCCCGGCTCCGAGGGGCCGGGGGAGCCGGCCGAGCCTCGGGGGAGCGGGCTGGAGTCCCAGGCCCCGGGAGCCGGAAGGGGGCCGGCCGGGAGGGGGACCCGGGCCCGGAATGGCCCGGAACGAAGTTCCAGGGTTCGGGCAGCCCCCGGGGCGACTGTGACCCCGGGGGGAGCCGGGCCCGGGGACCTGAAGGGGCAGGGCCAGCTCACCGCGCTTGTTTTTGGTGCCGTGTTTCTTGGCGGCCGTCAGCTCCTGCTCGATCTTCTTCTCGAGGAATTCCTGCTTCTTACTGAGCATCTCCTCCGTGTCCCGCAGCCGCTGGATGGCCTCCTGGGGGGTCGGGCCGCCCTTGCCGGCCTTCCCCCCGCCGGCCCCGAACAGCTTCCCGAACACCGACATGGTTGCTGCTCGCCGCGCCGGCCTGCGCCGCCCGCTCCGGCTCGGCTCGGCTCGGCTGGGCTCCGGCGCCTGCTCCCGGCACCGCCGCTCCCTGCCGCCGCAGGCCTCTCCGCCGCCTCCGCCCCACAGCTGGGCCCGGCCGTGCCACCTCCCACAGGCCCACACGCGCTGCCCGGTCGGCGTCAGGGCAACGCGCCGCTGACTACCACTCCCAGCAGGCAGTGCGCGCACCGGGCCGCAGGTCTAAGGGGGAAGAGGCGCGCTGCCTGCTGGGAGGCTGTAGTCTTCCGGCTGGAAGGAGCCGGCGGCGCGTCTTTTAGGACTATGAGGGTCAAAGGGCGAGCGGCATGCTGGGAAATGTAGTCTCCTTGGAACTCGCTCTGTAGGGAGTAGAAGGACAAGAGGAACACCAGTGTTTTGAAAGGCAGCGGTAACATTGGGCGCTTTCTTCGATCCAGGCTATGTGAAAAGTGCTTTATATGCATTAGCACATTTGATAGTCACATCCTACGACAAATAATATTGTTCTCACTTTGTAAGTGAGGAAACCAAGACTCAAAGAAAATGAGTGACTAGCTTAACTTATTAACCTTGTTTTTTCTGTTACTTCTATTGGAATGCCATTTTATTCTTCATTTGTCTAGCAGGTTTCTTTAAAACCTGTTAGGAGCTAGCAACCTGGGGGCAAGAGAGATAGTACAGTGGGTAGGGCATTTGCTTTGCAGGTAGCTGACCAAGTTCTATCTCCAGAATCACATATCGTCCCCCGAGCACTGTTAGAAGTGACCTCTGAGTACAGAGCCAGGACTGAGTTCAGAGTACCACTGAGTGTGGCCCAAAACCGAACAAAAAATAAAAATAAAAATTCTGTAGTATGCCATCCTTCTGCACAATAATAATAAACCAAGAGGAGGACAAAACTTTAAAAATTAAAAGTATTGTGGGGTTTTCCCCTGCAGCATGTTGGCCTAACTGTTTGTTTTCTCTCTCCTTTGTTGTCATTAATCAATTCTCCATCCATTAGTAATGAGGTTGCAGCTGGTGGCTTCTTCCCCCAAGCCCACCATTCTAATTTGTTGCTTTAATTCTTTGGCATGCGTTAGCCTTGCTTGAAAACAGTAAACCATATCATCTGAAGTGTGCTCCAATGAAGAAAAATATTGATTCTTAAGGACTCTTCACACTTTCCTGGATCTTTCTGATATGTGAAGTTTCGTGGGAACAATTTCAAGTAAATGAGACTTTTCTTATAATTTTGGTGTACTTGAATTTTATATTCTCAGACAAGATCTATTTGTGGATAAGAACATCCCATCGTGGGAGCAGAGGGTCAGGAGTGATAGTACAGAGGTTAAGGTGTTTGCCTTGAATCCTTCCTATTCAATCTTCAGCTATTCATACTGTCTCCTACACTCTTCCAGCTGTCACTCCTGATCAGCTACTCATACAGTCTCCTAATCACAACTTTTAGTTGTCACAGGCCAAGAATTGTGGGTTGGAACAGTGGTGTGGCAAGACCTTTGAAAGTTGTTGCTGGGTTCTTCTACAATTCCAGCCTGTACCTAGAGATGTCCCATCTGAGAGGATGGGAGAATTTATTTCACCCAGCTTTCCAGGTTAGAAGAAAATGTTCAAATGTGAGAGACAGGCTAGAAATTTTCAAGAATTCACAGAAACATAAATTGTGAAATGTAAGTCACATCTGTGTTTATTTTGTAATTGTGACATTGCATTGTTCTTATCAAAACAAAAAAAAAAAAGAAAAGAATCGGAGTCTCTAAGCGAGGAACCTAATGGATACTGAAAACCCTTGTACATCTCAGCAATCCACAACTTCCTTATTTTTTTCCTTTGGCTTTTGGGATCACATTTGATGATGCTCAGGGGTTACTCCTGCCTCTGCACTCAGGAATTATTCCTGGTATTGCTCGGGGGACATATGGGATTGAACCCAGGTCGGCTGCATGCAAGGCAAATGCCCTACCTGCTGTACTATCGCTCCAGCCCCCACCCCCTTCCCTCTTATCATATGCTGCAACCTGGCACTCAGGTACTTGTTACCTTTGAACCAGGACCCAAACAGATTAACAGGTAGGTTTGTGGGTCTCAAAACATCAGTTTCATAGTGCTGTGACAATGATAACTGGAAATCACTCTGGACAAAAACTGGGTGCTGAAAGGAAGTAAAGTGATATGCCTGATACCCAATAACAGTATTGCAAACCACGGTACCTTAAAGAAAAGAGAGAGAGAGAGAGAGAGAGAGAGAAGAAAAATGTCTGTTATAGGGGCAGGCTGAGATGATGGTGGGAGGGAAACTGAGGACATTGGTGGTGGGATATATACACTGGTGAAGGGACAGGTGTTGAAACAGTATATGACTGAAATTCAATATAAACAACTTTGTAACTGTGTATCTCATAGTGATTCTATAAAAAATAAAATAAAAATTCTCCAAAAAAATAAATGATCTTAAGAAGAAAAGTTTGGTGAGGTTGGGGGGAATAGGGATATTGTGCAGGGGTTGGCACTTGGCTTGAATGCTACTGACAGTGATTCAATCCTTGGCACTGCTAATAGTCTCCAGAGTACTGTCAAGAGTGATCCCTGATCAAAGGAGCCAAGAGAAGTTCTAGGGACTGGAAGAATGTACAGTGGTTAAGGTGCTTGCTTTGTATGTGGCTTACTCTGGTTCAATCCTTGGCACAGCATATGGTCTCCCTGAGGACCAGATGTGCTCAGTAAGCCCTGAGCACCACCAAGAATGATCCCTGAACACAGAGACAGGAGTAAGCCCTGTGAATGGCTGGGTGTAGCACAAAACTTCACTCCAAAAAAGAAAAAAGTTCTAGCCAAAAAAAGGCCCTCCCGTTGATCGTCGATTTGCTCGAGCGGGCCCAGTAACGTCTCCATTGGAGACTTTGTTGTTACTGTGTCTGGCATATCGAATACTCTCGGTAGCTTGCCGGGCTCTCCGAGAGGGGCGGAGGAATCGAACTCGGGCCGGCCATGTTGGCCGCTTGTAAGGTGAACGCCCTACCCGCTGTGCTATCGCTCCAGCCCCTGTGCTATCGCTCCAGCCCTAGCCAAAAAATCAAAGATAAATATCAGAGTCTTGTTCATATACAGCATATCCAAACCATATGTGGTGTTGGGGATTCAACCCAAATTGGTCACATGTAAGTCAATCACCCTCCCGCAAAACTATCACTCTGGCCCCAGTCACACTATTATTAAGTGGTGTATCTGGTACATAAGATCCCAAAAAATAATTGAATTGTTTAGTTTTGTTTTGCTTGGGAGATCGTACCCAACAGTACTCAGGAACTCTCAGGCTTGGTGTTCAGAGAACTCTGCCCTGCCAGAGGTCAAACTGAGTTTCCTTATGCAAAGCATGAACCCCAGCCTTCTGTTCTGTCTCCCTGGCTCAATCAATCACAATCAATCACAACCATCCTGTTATTCGTCGATTGCCTCGAGCAGGCCCCAATAACGTCTCCATCGTCCTAGCCCTGAGATTTTTAAGAAAAGTGCCATATTCAAGGCTCTTTCAGAGTTAGGAGAATGAGACCCTTCATTGTTACTGGTATTTGGCATATTGGGTATGCCACGGGGAGTTTGCCAGACTCTGCCGTGTGGGCAGGTTACATTCGGTAGCCTGCCAGTTTGTCCAAAGTAGGAATGAGATGATAAGATGTCATCTTAAGCATTCACGGCCGTGCACTTCTGGGAGCTGAGTGTGATAAGCTCTGGATCCTGGCAGTTGTTGGGGTTACACAGCAGTTGGTGGGTGTAACTGTCTAGCTACTGGCAGGTCCAGTCCCAAACCGTGCAGGCTCGGAGATCTCAGCCCCGGGTCCCACACACCTGGGTTCCTCTGCCAGTTCTTTTATGTGTAAGGCTCATCCAAGTGTGTGGAGAGTGGTCCCAGCATGGCCTTGGCTGGGGCCTGGAGGTCTTCAGCTGTTGGGCCCTGGTGGAGACAGTCAGGCACAGGGTAGGAGACTCTGCCTTGTTCTCTCCCGGGAGCTGAGTGTGATAATCTCTGGATCCTGGCCGTTGTTGGGGTTACACAGCAGTTGGTGGGTGTAATCAATCAATATGTCATTTTATTGATTATTCAGCAAGACCCTAAACTGAGCATTTTAAATGTATTATATTCTTTAACTCGTCCATGAAGTGGCCATTATTATTGTCCCCATGGTTTGGATTAGGCACTGGAGAGAAACAGAAATGAAATAGCTTGCTCAAGCTATTGGTGGTTAGAAAGCTAGTATGCAGTGGGAGGGTGCTTGCCTTGACATGACTAACCCGGGTGTGATCCCTAACACCCCACACATGGTTCCCAGAGCACCGCCAGGAGTGATCCCTTAGCACAAAGCCAGAAGTAATCCCTGAGCACCACAGGGTGTGGCCCCAAAATAAACAAAAAATTATATAGCTTTTAGGGGCAAAGCTTTGATTCTTATTTGACTGTTTTGTCCTTGCAAATAAACAAATAAACAGACAGGGACACACACCAGCATATTACATCAGTGAAACAGGATGGCCCTTGAGGGCTGGCCCCATTACCCCCAACGCACGCGCACGCGCACACACATGCTCAGGGAGGAGGCGAAGTTAGCAGTAGGAATAGGCAGGTCCAGTAGAACTGACAGGGCTCCAGGTGAGGGTGGTTTCCTGTACTGGAGTTGATGGGGGCAAAGTGTGGCAGAGCCTGCTCCATCTCCATCCATCTGAGCATGTACATGTTTGCAACTGGCACTAGAGAACCAAATGTTTTCTTCTGCATGCAGCTTCCTAGGCCTCTTCCCCCAAAAGTTCTCCACCGACCATGCTCATCATCTTCTATCATATCATACAATTTGCTTGTTTGTGACATATCTGCTACTGGGCTAGAGCGATAGCACAGCAGGTAGGGCGTTTGCCTTGCACACAGCCGACCCTGGTTCAATTCCTCCTTCCCTCTCAGAGAACCTGGCAAGCTACCAAGAGTATCCCGCCCCCACGGCAGAGCCTGGCAAGCTCCCCGTAGTGTATTCGATATGCCAAAAACAGTAACAACAAGTCTCACAATGGAGACGTTACTGGTGCCCACTCGAATAAATCGATGAACGATGGGAGGACAGTGCTACAGTGCTATCTGCTGCTGCCTCCTTAGGGGAGCTCCACAG